CAAATCATAGTAGGAAACAATATAAATCGTAAAGATACAAGCAACAAAGTTACAGTCATACAGTCATAAGTGGGAGGAGATGGGACTGATGAGAAGATTAATAGTAATAGCAATGCAGACTTAGTAAATAGTTTGACAGTGTTGAGGGAATTATTTGTTTAGCAGAGTGATGGCGTTCCGGGGAAAACTGTTCTTGTGTCTAGTTGTTCTGTTGTGCAGTGCTCTTACATTATGTAATTATTGCTTTTACTCTCATCATCTTGAGATTCCTTTTTGAGTTATATGTTTTGAATGTCATGTTTTAATGGCTTCATATTGTGGCGGCTTTGCTCAGAGTCACTGCAGTGAGAGTGGCAACCATATTAGCATAGCATATCATACCATATAGTACAGTGTATAGTATACTTTTATTTATTTTAAAATCTGTTATTTCTGTTCAATATTTAAAATGCTTTGGGTATTTGCTAATTTGAAAGTAACGTTTTCTTTGAATATATCTTACAGCCCAGTTCAACGGGGGAGAGATAAGGCAATCTTCACCTTCCCCATCTTCAAGTGATCGGCGCCGACAGCTTCGGGCACCTGGGGGAGGCTTCAAACCCATCAAACATGGTAGCCCAGAATTCTGTGGAATCTTGGGGGAGAGAGTGGATCCGACTATTCCACTGGAAAAACAGATGTAAGTTGCTGATACTTGGTGCAGGGAAACACAGGGCAGCAGAAACTGACATTAAAGTGGTATTTTGCACTTGCTGGGAGTTTGGAGGGCTGCTGGGGGTTCGCAGGGGTTTGGGAGAACTTCTAACTAAGATTCCATCCAGTTCGGAGAGCTCCCAATCCCACTCCTGGCTGGCCCTGCCCCCTCCCAGGAGTCCCCACGTGGCCCGCTTTGGATGCAGGTATGTGCAGGGCGTGCACAGAGGCTCAGTGAGGGCGAAAAATGGCCTACCGGAAGTTGGGGAAGGCTGTAAGCGGGCCTGTTTCCAGCCACCAGAGGACCTCCGGAGCCTGGGGAAGGCAAAAAGCCCCGACCCACTATAGTGCAGGATGCCGACTAGGCCGGGCCCACTATGGCCATGCCCACCCAGCAACTGGACAGAGAATACCTTGCTAAAATTTTGGAAGCCCATCCCTGGCTGTGACCAGTACACATCTCTCAAAATTGCTTTGCTTTGTCTTGCACATCATATAGTACAGTGGAATGTCTTTTTAAAAAAACTCTTAAAACTCTAAAAGTGAATTTATTCTAAGTGTTACTTGCTTTTATTTTTTGTAGATGGTATCATGGAGCAATCAGTCGGACAGATGCAGAAAACCTCTTGCGCTTGTGTAAAGAATGTAGTTATCTGGTGAGGAACAGCCAAACAAGCAAGCATGACTATTCACTTTCTTTAAAGTAAGTATCCTTTAAACAAATTATAGGCAGTGTTAAGCAGATTTGTAGGGTGCAGCGACAGCTACCACACATTCCTTCATCTTGACATTAAAAAGGCTTCCTCAAGCCTCATAGGAATTTTAGAATTCCAGATGTCAGACTGGATTGCTTTGAGTGACACTTCTGAGGTTTGGTTCTAATGCTCCAGGGACAAACATGGGGGGGGGGGGTGTTTAGATCTGTTTTGTTTTTAGTTTTTATCTCCTCTTGTTGCTGATTAAAATGTTTCTGTTACACTTTTCTTCTTTCAACATTTAATAAAGCAATTGTTTAGTTTGTTTTTTCTCCTCTTTCCCTGCTTTGACAGATAACTTACATATACAAAGTACAAAGAGTTTGCATTGCACTGAATTCAATGAATGAAAAGATTAGTTTTATTGACTGGTAAACTACCATGTACAATTTCCCCAAGTAAAACAAGCAATGGAAATTGCAGTGGAATAGAAAAAAAGTTTTCGACTTAGGGAGAAATCATTGATTTGCATTAAAAAGAATGAGAAAAAAAATTAAGTAATCATTTAAAAAACTAGTGCTAACATTTTTAGACTGCAATCAGTCATGCGTTTGCCTAAAATTAAATCCTATTAAATTGACTAAGATTTCCTTTCTAAATAAATATGCAAAGGATCTGATTTTTAAATAGATATATAGATATAAATAAAATATAGATATTTGTTTCTTCAGCCAATAATATATATAAATACAAATTGGAACAATTGTAATACTTAAACCTTCATTCCGTAAGATATCCAAAATGTGAGATGGCAGCTTTGTAAATTGAAGAAGGAAATAAAATATATGACTGAATGAATGCATTATGATTTGTAGTAGTGAAAATGTACTATCCCCTTCAACTTATATTTTACTGAATGTTGTAGATTCTAAGAACCATTAGTCTAGACTCTAGACTAATCCCAGTTTTATTCTTCCCATAGTCGTAGAATTATTTCTTTCTAATTAACATCAAACCAAACTTTGTTCAGTAGTGATTTAAGTAAGCAATAAAAAGTAATATAATCAGATCACATTTAGAAAATTATCCAAGTAAGAAAATTGTTTTAATCCAAAGATACATTATAATCACATGTTAATAATATCTATAAACTGGTATTTGAGGAAAAGGAACAGTAACATTCCATTATCATTATTAGAGTCACTGGAAGGTTATTTGTTATCAGCAATAAGCAAAATTATATTATTAATAATACATTTGATTGATTTGCCACATCAGAACTCTTAAGGATCTTGGCTTAGCTATGGATAAGAAGCTTTGCAGGTGATCCTGTCTTTCTCAACTGCAGTAATAGTTAACAAACCATAGACTGTCTCCTTTTTCTGGTTCATTCTTCTGGAAGCAAGCTGGGAATCCTATTTAATGAGATACTAAACAAACCATGACCAGTTAGCTGTATCATCTGTTCGGAAGACCTAATAAGTTACTAGTGTAACATGTACCTGCTCACTTCTTGTTCAGGACTGAATCAAGAATATATATACCATGTTTTCCCGAAAATACAACCTTCCCCAAAAACGAACCCTAGGCCAATTTTCATGCCTGCACCTCATATAAGCCCCACCCCAAAAATAAGTGCTAGTTAAGCTCCGCCCACTATCTGTTTGTACGAGGTAGGGTGAGGCACAGGTGTAAAAATCAAGCTAGGGTGAGGGCATCAACTTTGTACAAGGAATTCAATTCTTTTACTCTCAATGATATCGTACACTTTCATTTGTTCTCTAATCCATGTGCAGATCTTTCTATCTTGTCTTGTAATGCCAAGCATGTATCTTTCCATGGGTCTTTGTGCCATTCGTAGCTTTTGTATTGATTGTGAAGTTAGTGTCCATGTTTCACTGGGATATGTTAGAACACATAGAGCACACTGATCAAAAACATTTCTCTTCAGGCAAAGGGGAAGGTTTTTCTTGAAAATTATGCTTAGTTTGCCTGCCAACCCCATTTAACACACCATTCAATTTTCTTTATTGTATCACTTTCCATTGAGATCCGTTGGCCAAGATATACCTAGTGGTGTACTACATCTAGTTCTTCTCCAGATACAATATTTTTTCTTTCTTTGGTGAATTTATTAAACATAACCTGGCTCTGTTTCGGGTTTATTTTTAAGCCAAAATGATTCTCCTGTTTTGTGCAGCCCTTATATATTTCTTTGTAGCTCTTCTGGGTCTTGTGAGAAGAAGACAACATGATCTGCAAATACTAAGTAATTTAAAAAGGCATCATTTTTATTCCATCAGTCTAGTTTACGAAATACATCTTCAAGGCAGACTGAAAAAAGGATAGATGATATTGTATCGCTTTGTCTTACACCTCGTTCTATGTTGATTTGTACTTTAAGATAATTAAGGCACGTTGTCGCCATTTGTTTGTTCATATGTTGATTATGAAAGCAGTGTCTATGCCTTGGTTGAGCAATGCATTAATTATTAATGCATTGCTTTTAATTAGGCATATAGAGATAGTGATAAAGAAAGATACAGAGGAAGGGAGGGTGGGGAGAGAGAGAGAGAGAGAAAGAGAGAGAGAGGGAGAGAGAGAGAAATGATTTTACCCCTAATGAGGTTTCCTAATAAAAACTTTCAATAGGCTGCTACAAGTCAGGAAGAATCTCCCAACACACCCTAATCTATGCAGCAGAGAAATTTTCAGCCCTCTAATATTAGTCCCTATAAGCCCATTTCTGGGGAAAAAAATAAAAAGTTGATCCTGCTCAAAGCCCAGAAATTAATAAAATCTTATGAACATTTTGAAAACACAAAGGGTAGCTGTGCAATTTTATCCATTAGAAAGATTTTTTTAATAAGAAATTTATTTTTCAAATAATCTGGCCCTGTTTCTCCTTTAAAAAGAGGTTACCTCAGACAGGGAATAACAGGTAAAACAAGGGAAAAGGTCATTCACAGAAACAAAATTCTAAATAAAATCAATGTTGGGCCAATCATGCTATTTATACAAATTGCTTGAGTTGGCACTTAGCCTTTCAGCACAGATGTGGAGTTCACTGCAAAGTGAATACTTGGACAGAGAACCTCTCCAATTATTAGTTCCTGTTGATTCCCCTCATTTTAAAACATTAGTTTCAGAAATTTATAGACAGCAGAGGAAGCCAGTTTCTTAGGAGAGATTGTTGCTGTACCCAATTAAATAATGTGTTTCATCTCTGATTGCCAAGGCCTGGCTAGCAAATCAAAAAAATTATCTGGTGCCTGAGCCCATCTCTTAGAGAACCCTGTAATTGAATGCCAAAGCAGATGTTCTGTTCCAACTGATAAAAGAAGTTTCTGCTTATTTGCAGTGTAGATTCATGTATATTTAAGATTTCTTTTCATTAATTTTCTGAGATACACAAAGATAAAAAATTACATATATTTTGCTTCTTTGCAGAAAAGACCAATGTATTTTATGTTAATGTTCTTAATTATATTTACACTCAGAATGGATCTGTATTAACGGTGAATCAAATTATCAGTTGGATAATTTGGAACTGTTCCAGTTGGGTTTCAAGCGAGAGAACAGTATAGAGATAACATTGGTAGTATTTTTTTAATGATCTCTGGCCAAGCCAGGGTTGGGTTAATGCGTCCATCTTGGTGCTCCTTTGTCCTCTCAGTGGCTTTCAACACCATTTACAGTATCCTTTTGAACCAGTTACTTACATAATAGAGTCTTAAAGGTTGTTGAAAAAACATTGCAGGATCAACAACATTCATTTACTAAGTCAAATACAATGTATGTTCTAAATACTGAACGGTTCTAGGAAGACGGCAAATCCAGAAGACTTAATCAGCTTTAATGGGCTATCATACACAGAGACTAGACAGCCAACATGTGAATGGATCACAGGTTGCATGAGTATAATTTAGTCTTTAGTGATGCATTATTAAATGGTGACTAGCTTGTCATGAAAAAAATAGATCAAGTGATTTTCACTAAAGGTATCGACTTTGTACAAGGAATTCAGGCTTTTCTACTCAATTTCAGAGATGCCCTCAAACTCTTCTCTGGTGGTCTATGGCTATTAGGTCAACCACATGAAGAAATGTTGGGTCCCAAACAAACCCACTGTGTTTCCTGCTGTTGTACCACTCAGCCCTCTGATTATTTTACAACATGTTTTTTCTGATATCCGGTTTTAGGTAAGAGTCTCTTGCGTGACTGGAATGTCAATAACAGCTGAGAGGGTAGGGGAAGGTTGACTGCTCTTTCAGTGGAATTGAAATTTGCAAGGATTTGCGATTATAGAAAGAAAATACACTTTGGGGACAAGAGGAGGAAGGCAAACTGTTTTATCCCACTCTTAACATTAATCTCCCAAATCAAAACCTGATGAGTGCAGGAAAAAAAGCAGTAGAAGAAAGTTTCATAAGTATATCCATGAAGTTACCACGCTTTTGAAGGAGATTTCACTTTTATTCTTTTATAGGTTGGAGAATGAGTCCTGCAATATTGTACTGTGCTTGAATCTGTGCAGAAAGGCCTTTTAGCAGACTCTATTGTGGAAATGTGAATATCCTTCCAGTAGAAATAAGATTTAGCTTTTGCATAAAAGCATTGATCTGTAACTTACCAACTACGAACTATTCTGCACATCTGGTGTTTCTGTATCATTCCATTTTTTTTTGTTCAGAAGATATATGAGAAATGTTGTTTATAAGTCTAACTCACAGGTAGTTTCACCACATCCCTGCATGTACTAAACACCTAAATTAGCCTTCTCCAATCTTATGGACCCCAGGTGTACTAAACTAATATTCCCAGAATTCCCAACCACTTCTATAGCCACCAACACATCTGGGTTACTGACCTGAAACCCTTATTCTAAAACAAAGTGAGGGGTAAAATTCTGCCTTTACTGTTTCTTTGTTGCTCAAGATGGGAAGCTTGCACTTATGAAATGCTTAAAAAGTGCCATACATTGTAATCTGTTTTATAGAGAAATAGT